TTGTTGTTGCTGCTGTTGTTGTTCTTGTTGCTGCTGTTGTTGTAGCTGCTACTGTTTTGTTGTTAGTGATGTTGTCGCTATTGTTGTCGTTATTGCTTTGAGAGAGAAGAACCACTGTGGATTGTACTAGGCAAAACAAACGAACGAATTCCAGTCCTTGGAAACACACACACAAAAAATTACCAGGCAATAAGTTTGATAAGCTACTTAATGTTTTCCATTGATTTTCGTTATTTTCAGCATAAAATTACCTGAAAATCTAAACACGTTTTTAACAGAAGAATGCGAGGTTGTTGGTAAAAGACAGCTTCTTTCTCTTGCTACAAGGTCAGTCATTTTAGAAAAAACACATAAATAGCAATCTATGATGTTCAAGCTACTTTAGTAGAACACATGATATTTTCCTGCCATGTTGTAGCTTTGGCAAATATTTTGTACAAAATAAATATGGTGTCAATGTCGACATGTTTTGTTACAGTGCGTATACAAAGGCATTGAAGTCCCAACCTAAGTGCTACAGCTTATGGAATGATCTTGGGTACAGCTACTTCTTACAAGCCAAGGTAACTGAGGGATCGAACTGGGGCTGACCAACCTGACTGATTGACTCGCTAACTCGCCGACTGTCCCATCGACCCACTAACTCATCGACCTCACTGACTGACCAGCTAACCGACTAACTAACCAACTAACTGACTAACAAGCTAACTTAATAACTGACTTACTGACTATCCCACCAAACGACCACCAAACGACCAACCCGTCAAACGACTGACTGACTGAATGACTGATATTCATTTATCCAAGTGTTTTATCATTTTTTCCCTGCAGATAGAAGAAGGGGACCAATGTAAGAAGTTAGCAGAAAGATCAGTTCAAGTAAGAAAGGGAAAAAAATTACTTACTAAAGCATTAATTTTCCCCAATTTTAGTAAACGTTTCATCGCTTTAGAATTATTTTTTTTCTTTTTAAAGAAAAATATCTTATTTCTCAAGGTTCTGAAGAAAGGACTGACTCTACAGCGAACCAATCACAAGCTATGGAACACATTAGGAGTTGTTTGTGCCTCAAATCGTAAGTCTGAGGATATCTTGCTTTACTCATAATAGTCCAACCACCGGTGGTAATAGACTGCTTTACCTAGGCTTTAGAGAGTTCAAGATTCTCGTTTACGGCAAACGTGAATCGTCAGTTGACCATTAAAAATTCTTTAAAATTAGTGAAAAGGAATCGCAAAAATCTCTAAGTAGTAGATAAACAAAAGAATACTTGTCTTTGTCGAGAAGGTTTGCTAAAGGTAAAGTGAAATTTAGGAAAACGATGAAAACGTGGTCACGTTTGCCGTTTGCGGGAAGGAAAAACGGGAATCTTAATCTGCCTATTATGTTTTCTCATTTCTTTGTGTAATGGCTCACAGCTCACAGATCACAGCTCACATTTCACAATTCGTTTAGGATTCCAGATTTCAGATCTTCGACAGATATTGTCCTGGAATCCTAAATGAATTGAAAGATGTGAGCTGTGCCATTGAAATTTGTTTTGGAAATAGGTACATTTATAGTTTTTGTTTTTGATTTTGTTTTTTCAGTTGTAAACGATCCGGAGCTCAGCCAACATTCATTCATAATGTCAAGCAAGACTGAAACAATCGTAAGCCATCAAGTAGAAAGTCATTATGCTTGATTAAGAGATCAAAACGATCCTACACTGCACCCTTCCCAGTTCAGAATGATTTTCCAAGAGTAATAGAAGTTTTTTTTTTTTTTTTGCAATAAAAGCCTTCATATATTCAACCTTCCAAAATCAGGGCATGGCTAACTCACAGATAGGGATGGAATTGGATTGGTGTTGTAGAGGAAGGAAAACTAGTGAACCCGGAGAAAATCCTCAAATCAAGGGCTCCAAAGACCTAACAAACTCTACTCACATGTGATTTTGTGTTAAGCCATATTAATTATGGTGTTAAAATATTTCAGAATCCAGTCGCTTGGACGAATCTTGGTGTTCTTTATCTCAAGCACAACAAAGTAGAGGTACCATTGCTTTTTTCCCCCATTTAGTACTTGATTCAAAACAACTCAAAACTATTGTTTATGTTATGCATTAACAATACTTTTTATTACACAGCCGGCACATGAAGCATTCAAAAAGGCTCAAGCACTTGATCCATCATATACCGAGGCATGGGTTGGCCAGGTAAGTGAGAGCAATCTTGTCCTTCAAATGAGGCTGTCTCTTTTAAGAAATATGGAAAGGGAGGGGGTGGGGGAGTCTATAGATCTCCGATTTATTGTTTATTTTTATTATTATAGGCTTCAATAGCTGAGATTATTGGTAGCGAAGAGGCTACTGATTTGTTTAGACACACCTTGGAACTAGGATCACATGTAAGTAATAAGGATTGTTCTTTACTGGGTGTGTGCCTATGCTCATGGGTGTAGTCATAGTATTGTGTGTTATCTTCCAGGTAGAGGGTAGCATAGGGTATGCTCACTGGGTGTGTCCCTATGCTCATGGGTGTGGTCATAGTATTGTGTGTTATCTTCCAGGTAGAGGGTAGCATAGGGTATGCTCACTGGGTGTGTCCCTATGCTCATGGGTGTGGTGATGGTATTGTGTCTTATCTTTCAGGTAGAGGGTAGCATAGGATATGCTCACTGGGTGTGTCCCTATGCTCATGGGTGTGGTCATGGTATTGTGTGTTATCTTTCAGGTAGAGGGTAGCATAGGATATGCTCACTGGGTGTGTCCCTATGTTAATGGGTGTGGTCATGGTATTGCGTGTTATCTTCCAGGTAGAGGGTAGCATAGGGTATGCTCACTGGATATGTACGCACCTGACTTCAGGGAAAGTCCCCCAGGGTCACAGCCCTGTACCCAGCCTGTCTCATTTACCGGAGGAGTACAGACGAGCTGTGACGCAGTCTTCCGTTTCCATGACAAAATACACAGGTGAAGAATTATTAATGTCTAAATACGTTTTCCTATATGTTCGTAAAAAAGACGGTATCCTGTTTTTTGTTGTTGTTGTTGTTGTTGTTGTTGTTGTTGTTGTCATCGTTGTCACGACAAAAATCCTCCAAAGCCCACTAAGCATTGTCTCCCTTCTCCCCCTCCCCAACCCAAGCCTCGTTCCTAAAAGGGCATGCATAACTCATTCTTTATACTTATTTTTACCTCACATTCGTTAATTCAAAGTTCTTTTATCGCTCAGATCGTATCCGTAGCACGGCCTGTGCGTACAACATGCATGGACTTTTACTGGAGCATCAGTGTCTCTATGTGCAGGCTGCTCAAGCCTTTGCGAGGTGAGAAAGGACATGTATTACTTTCTTATTCCTATGAACGTATAGAAATAATAATATACCAGAAATAGATTGTATGAACGTATGGGAATAAGAATGGACCTGAATTAGATTGGATGAACGTAAAGGAATAAGAATGGACCTGAATTAGATTGGATGAACGTATAGGAATAAGAATGGACCTGAATTAGATTGGATGAACGTATAGGAATAAGAATGGACCTGAATTAGTATGCATGAACGTATAGGAATAAGAGTGGACCTGAATTAGATTGAATGAACGTATAGGAATAAGAGTGGACCTGAATTAGATTGGATGAACGTATAGGAATAAGAATGGACCTGAATTAGATTGGATGAACGTATAGGAATAAGAATGGACCTGAATTAGATTGGATGAACGTATAGGAATAAAAATGGACCTGAATTAGATTGCATGAACGTATAGGAATAAGAATGGACCTGAATTAGATTGCATGAACGTATAGGAATAAGAATGGACCTGAATTAGATTAGATGAACGTATAGGAATAAGAATGGACCTGAATTAGATTAGATGAACGTATAGGAATAAGTATGGACCTGAAATGGATTGGATGAACGTATAGAATAAGAATATACCTCAAATGAATTAGATGAACGTATGGGAATGAGAATAAACCTGAAATGGATTGGATAAAGGTATATATACTAGGTATAAATGATTAATTTTTCTACTTATGATTGTTTAGTGCTGTGCAGTTATTATTAAAGGAAAGCGACGCTAGACAAGATCTTCTGAATATGGTATATATCAACCACGCTAGAGTTTTGTGGTAGGTAAATTAACTATTGGATTCAGTATAATATTTCAAGTTTCCCTTGTTTTCTTAATATGTACTTATTGACTGAGTCGTGGGAGGACCGTACTGGAAAATATTTGGCTCGAGGTCATGCCGTACAAATGACCGAGAGCCAAATATTTTACCGTACGGCCCGACCTAACTCAGTCAAAAAGCATTTTATCATATTACCCTAAATAAAAAAGATATTTTAAAAGTTGCAAATTATGTCAATACGGTCGCAGGTTTCAAGCAGGGTCGTACGCATCCGTACGGCCCTGCTCACGCCATTTTCCCGAAGGTTTTTTTCAAGAGCGCGCGCCCAAGCAGATACGGGTCATATGATAAATTTCATTATTATACAGACACGTGAGGGTTTTTTTTTCCTATTTTAAACCACGTGTCATTCCCTTGAAAATTATTTTTTTGCTTCACGCCCGCTAACGCAGAGAATTTTATTCTCAAGGGAGTGATACTTGATCTGAGACAGGATGACATTTCTTCCCATTCAATCGAGTCTCGGCCAATAAAATCACGTTGTTAACCTATATGATAACATTTTGTTAGTTCACTTGGTCGTTATGACGATGCAATCGAAACATACCAGAAGGTTACACCGCTGGACAACTTCCATGTGATCTGTGGGCTCGCCCTTGCGTTTTACATGGCGTGTAAACTACCAGAGAGCTATCGAGGTTAGTTTGATTCCCGTTCTTTAAAAAACTCTCTGCTACATATCATTATAATTTGTTCGGTCCAGCAATTAAACACTCGACATTGCATCTCACTGACTTAAACCTCGCCTTTCCTCGGGCACCAGCGAAGGGACATTCATAAAAAAACGTTTTGTTTGACTTGCGAATAAAAGTTTCTTCCTTCTTTCTTCCTTTCTTTCTTTCTTCCTTTATTCCTTCTATCGTCCGTCCGTCCGTCCGTCCGTCCGTCCGTCCGTCCGTTCATTACTGATTCATTTGTGTATTTGTGTCCTCCAGCCTATGACCAAGCACTACAGCTTGCTCCATCAGACGCCGACAAATCTTGTGTGTTAACCGCAATGGGGATGCTGGGATATGCCCTGAATGACATAGATGGTGCGAAGGCGATGTTGTTTAAGAGGTAAGATAAAGCATCAATACACAGCACGCTCGTGCTTCTTTTATTTCTTTAATGACATCAACGACAGCCGAAACAACAGTAGTAGCAATTATCCATTCCGAGGTCGAGGAAAAGACTAGGGACAAATAGATGCAACAGAAACCTTTAGCAGGACGTTATCGACATTTAGCAAGGCCTCATAAGGAACTTGATGCTGGAAGAGCCGCCATATTGGATTTCATTGATGCCGAATGTTTCTCCACGTCTGCGGATGTTATTCTGGGTCTGGTTTATAGCGGTTAGGAGTGAGCGGTTGGCGGTAAATCTAATGTTATAGGTCTCTAATATTAGAAATATGTCTCCTAAAACAGCCCCAAAATGCACTGCAATGTAAACCCGTTCCAGTTTTTCCCTCAACTTATCGAAATGCTTAATATACTGCAAACAACACTGACCAGCAATAGTAACAAGCTACTACCCATGTACTATTCTCACTGCATACATAATTGGCGTGTCACGTAGGAATTTAGCAACCCCCCATATATGGACATTGGAGTTTGCGCAGTGCAGGTATAATTCTTTGCGACCCCTCCATATATAAGCACCACACCCAGATCCTTGAATCATTCCGTCGGAAGCTGYCTAAGGAGAGAGTAGAAGATTCACTCCACCCACCTCCCCTGGTGACGGTTGACGACGCATCGCATGCTTTTCGCATGCTCATTGCCAGCAGTCGCGGTCACCTTCCATATCTTAATTCCCGTGACTCGGTAATGAGTGTGCAGTGAGGATAAAATACTAACATATGCCTTTTTGATTCTAACTTTACCCAGTTCCCAAATGAATCCACCCTGTGAACGCGGCCTGATGGCACTGTGTGCACTGGGACTAGTCAACAATGACTTGACGTTAGCTGGCGCAGCTTTGGGTGAACTCTTAAAGCTTGGCCAAAAAAGTGAGTATATTTTACATGTAGGGTAACAGTAGTGGTCGCTTTGCGTCCAACTCAAAATAAGGGTAATACGTTATGGTAAACAAAAATAGTGTCCTCGACCATAGGTTCTTTATGTTTTACACTCTATATTGGATACTACTTCATCGCTCCATTTGCATGGGTCCTTGTTTACAATCCAAAAATTCACCTGCATTTACTGTGTTTTCCTGTGCTAGGCCCATTTTACTATCCACTGGTAAATACTACGAAAATCTTCACTTTTTTCCCTTTTTTTTTCTTTTTTCCTTTTTCGTAGTTTTTACTCACAAATTTAATGCAATCATTCAGTCATTATAATATTGTTGTTTTTTAGTGAAAGACGTGATATATGCTGATATTTGTTATCTCTTCTCTCAGTTCTTCGCGATGCAGGTAAATTATCCAATGTTTTTAAAGTTGCCTTATAGGTTCGCAGGTGCCCTTCAAGTAAAGATTTCTCCTTGCGTTAAATTAAACAACATTTTGTAGCTTTATACACCATTTTAAAGCAAATGATAACTTAAAATTACAGCTATGCAATTTGTTTTTAGAAATGATAATTTGAAGTGAATGACAGACACACAAACTCAACACTGGGTGGGTGTCTTTGTTTGAAAGTATCATGATGGAATGCGTTTGATAGTCTAAAAAGTCTAATTGGATTTACACTCCATGGTGAACAAAAAGCTGAACACGTTTTGCAACTCATTTGATAAGGATTATGGTGCAGATATCACGAAAATTGTTTTTTTTTTATTATATAATTTCAGGGAAGTGAAATGGTTGGACTTCGACATATCTTGAAGGCAATCCATGAGTAAGTTTATTCTTTTACGTTACTGGTRTGTTACTTGTGTGTTATTTGGCCTACCATACAGTTATCTTTTCTACTCTATATAATAGATCTCTTTACCTTGGGCGTAATGTTTTCCTATTTCAGACCACGTCTCATTTCTTTGTTTAACAGTTGTGCATGAGAAGACACATGAATATGGATACAATTCAAACAAAGAATCTTATTCTCAAAAGAATGACACGTGGTCTGAAACGGATAAACATTACGCCCAAGGAAACGAAGAGATCTACTATTTTTCTAAGAACAAAACCTGACCAACGTAAAAAGAATCAAATTGAGAACTAAATAGTCTGTTTAAAATTGTTTGTCCATATTTTTTCCGCAGGCATCCTGAGCGCGCAGTGTTATGGCAACAATGCGCCATGTTCATCATCGATAGATGCCCGGATAATCTTCAGGTATCTAAAAAGGTTTCAAAATGTTGTACTGGGTGTACAGCTATTTCAAAATAGTTTGGTGAAGATTTTGGGCGCAGTTTTGTGGGAGCAGTGCGCAATGTTTATCATTGATGAATTCTTGCATAATCTTCAGGGCCCGGTTGTACGAGGGTTGAATAGCGCTATCCAACGGATAAATCTTTTCCAGTGCATAAATGTATTGGAAAACACCATCGACTTATCCACTGTATTTATCCTTTGGATTGCGCTATCCACCCCTCGTACAATCGGGCCCAGGCATTAAAAAGCTCGAAAAGGTTTGCACTGGGTGTATCATGGGTATGTGCGTATGACCACCAATTCATTATTTTTAGTATTGATTGTACATGAAAATGAAAAAGTCGGGGGCTTTGACTTAGAATAATGGGACATTGCAATATCGTGTAACTTTTTTTTTCTGTGTAGGTCGCAATGCGATGTGCAGAAGCAACAAGAAAATTAAAACACATTAGTGAAGAGGTAAAGACATATCTGTTTGCCCCTTAAACTCGTTCTGGTGTCCCTCAATGCGAGGCTAGATCGGCTTGTGAACGATTTGTTCGCTTGGATAATTAGCTTATTATCCAGGATATCTATTTTGTTAATCGCTCAAAAAAAAAAAAATTACCAATATTCGTATATATAGTCTTTAAACCTGATGATGAGGGAGGGAGGGGAGGGGAGGGGAGGGGATTGCATAGCGCGTTATAGATAAAGAAAACATCAACCAGCAAGTAAACACGCTAATCACACATTCCACTTTGTTATTTGTCTTTGTCTAACATCATATATAAGATATCAAAGATTGTATTTCTTTTACAACAGAAGATGATATTACGAAATGCCGACGAAACATGTCTTGTTTCAAAATTGTAGTCCAAAGAAAAAGGATTGTTTTTATATTTATTTCTAGATTAATGTATCTCTTCATCCAACGTCTTTGCTTGGCTCTGGCGCACTTCCACCATCATCACGTGGCGAAGAACAGCCAATGACAACTGTAGAACTAAGAACAATAGCAGCCGTCAGGGCAGCCCAGAGGGCCTTGCGCGCCCACCCTGACCGAGTAGAAAGCTGGGCCGTGCTATGTGCTGCTGTCACAGCTCATGGTATTGCTATGGATACGGAGGACAAAGGAAAAGGATTTCACATGTTGACATTAAAGATTTCCCAGATGACCATGAATAAATGTAAGTAAAGCCTAAGACGGTGATGTTTATAATGATGATGGCTATGATGACCATGATGATGGTGGTGGATGACGAGGATGATGATGGCGATTACGACCATGATCATCATCACCACCAATGTCATAAACGTCATCATCATCACCTTCAACTTCTGGTAATAAATGAGATTTATAAAAAGTATAACGCTGTTTCTGTAATTTTAAAGGCCGCGAAGAACAGAACATTTTGGAATCCAAAGCAAAGAACCAACTCCCGAATCTCTTGTTGTCCCGTAAACAAGAACTAGAGGGGTTACAAAGATGGACTGTGCTTCATACTGGTTACTCTATGATGTACTGTGGTCTGGTGAAAGAAGCTAAGGAACACTGTCAGCAGGTACATTGAAGAAAAAGAAAACCATATTTCACGTTGAATAGGGTGAATAGTCGCACAATAAAACATGTGCAAAGAAGAATAAAGATAATTTTGTACATACATTTTTTCTTAGCAGAGAAGTTTCCAAAAATCTAAACATTTCAATTTCTGAATAAAAAAGACTTAATAAATTACATTAATAATCTTGTCTCAGGCTCTCTCGGTTTATGCAAATGATTCCCGGATGAATACCGCACTTCATTTACTGAAGGCTCAGCTTTGTTTATGTGGTGGTGAAGTTGACGAAGCTGATAGTATTCTGCAGTCGTCAGTGTTGTCTAGCCCTCACCATCCTACTGTTGCATGGCAGGTAAGAAAACCGTAAAAAAACCTTATCATTGAAGTTTACCACAGGGTAACCATTGAAGTGAAATGAGAATACGAATCTGTGTGGACATAATTTGTAAACTTCAAAAACTCTGGAAATGATTTCATTCAAATTTTCAGAGGTTTATCACGCGGGTCTTTATTGGTGTAACAAGCCATTGAGCACTAGTGAACGCACACTAGCTAAACCACAAGCGCATTTTTTCCTTTCCAATAGTCCCATTCACAGTTCCCTGCGCCATCTTGAAAGGTAGCCGTGCCTTTGCGTCGAAGCGAGATGAACGGTGAGCTTGTAATGATAGAGACCTTTTTTAATACCTTGGACAATCATTCGCATGTCTCTATCATTGCAAGCTCACCGTTCGTCTCGCTTCGACGCAAAGGCACGGCTACCTTTCAAGATGGCGCAGGGAACTGTGAATGGGACTATTCTGTTTCCATAACATCTGATGGCTGTACCCTATTAATCCCCATACCCCTCCTTCTTAGTAGAAAAATTTTTTAGAAAAATATTTTTCATGTCATCATTAAATATCAGGTGTTGGCAGAAATTCGCATGAATGCTGGCTCGCCCCTGGAAGCCGAGCTGTGTTACCGCAAGTGTCTTCAAGCTGGGACAAACAAAAGGTAAGAACATTGAGGGGAAAACTTGTTTGGTATTGGCTAATTTTACAAAAATCAAGCATTATAGTATTTTACTAACTTCATAGTTGCGCGTGTTTCTAATTCAGAAGTTATTTACGTGAAATAAGTAAAAAAGTTATTGGAAAGTTGTAAATTAAAAAAGTACAGAGGTCACGCTTTTCTTAGAGCAGTTTTCGTATGACACGGTCGTGACACAGAAAGGCGGTAACGGCATGTAACGCTTACGGCACTGAGGTTTTTGACAGTCATACGTACTGCTCTAGTAGAAATTAGCCTGCGTAGTGGAGCTTTGAAGAGTGGGGGAGGGGGGGGGGGTTGAGCTTGATGAGAGGAGGGGGACTTCTCCTCTCTTCTACGCAGACTAAGTAGAAAGTGGTACGATATCTTGGATTCTGACTACATCTATTTCATTGCACGTTTGGATAATGCGCCCAGCAATACGCAACCAATCTTGAGTAATATGGGTATTGATTTGGAATTATTTTTTTGACTCATTGCAGGTCTACTAACTGGCGAATCGTTCCTCTTCTTCGTCTTGCGCTCTTAGCACTAAACCAGGCCAAGGTTAGTATCTTTTAATACACTTTACATTTAGTTTCGTCTGTCGACAATAATAAACCTGGCTAACAATCATGAATAATACAATATTGATAAACAATAACGAGATTTTATCTTTTAGACTGAGTCCGCTGAACGCGATCGCTGGCTCACCCTTTGCCAAGAAGCATCGACTGAGGTAACCTAATATGTGAACAACCTTTTTCCTTACTTTGCGGGAAAAAACTGTTACTTAATGTCATGCTTTCTAACACATGTTTTTTCTACGCGAAAATTGGCGTGTGACTTTGTGTGTCAGGAAGATGAGAGTTTTACCTGTATTCGTATTTGTATCTTTATGTCCAGGAGGGGGTTGTGGATGTGTAATGGTACAGGAAGGCTAGACTATTTATGGCAAGAGATTTATAAGTTCACAGGTTTCTCCTTCTCATTCGTATTGAAGGTTATCAAGATTGATACAGACTGCTCAGCGGCACGACTCATTCAAGGAATTTCCTTCCACTTGCAGGGAAACGCAAGGTATTAAAACATTGAGCCAAGCCTAATTGTAAATCATATTCATTTTGGAAGATTACCTGTTCCAGCAAATTTCAGTTTGCGCAGATGATATATCGTAAGAGCTAATCTCCCCCGTCGTCATTAGTTTTGATCCCAGATCCTCACGTACAGAGGAGAGCAGTTTTGACACAGGCATCCCAAGCTTGGTTTCTGTGGTGTCATGTTATAAGGAAACGTATTGGGATTCTTCCAAAATTTCAACAAATTATTTCTTACTGGAGGGGAAAAAATCTTAAAACGGGCTAAATTCAAAAAATAACCACCCAGAGCGAAAGAAGTGCTATTTCTCAATGATCGGGTAAAATTTCGAGGCTTTATTTCACGTTTCAATGATTTTATTGAAATTTTTGAAGAATACCCATACATTTCCTTATAACATGACACCACAGAAACCAAGTTTGGGCTACCTGTGGTTTTGACTGTGAAATGTTCACATTAAGGACGTGCTGTGTCGTACCATGCCCGTGAATGGTATTGGTTCGTCCAAATCACAGGATGAATGCTCAGTGATCTTGTGCGTTTACTTATTCTTTGTAAAATTTAAGGTTTGACCGATAACAACCACAGGTAGCCCAATTTAGATTTAATTAAATTGAAAGGTAAAACAATTCGGGAAAAATCCACTTTTATGCGACATAAGCATAAGTAAGAGTGTCCTTCCTCACTGAGTGACATAAGCACAAGCATAAGAAGAACGGAACGTTCTGATCCTCATGCTTGCGCGCTAGAGAGGACTGATTTCTTCTCGTTTTTCAGACAAGCCAGACGGTATCTACAGAACGCTTCAGAGTCAAAAACCAGTGCGTCAACAGTAGCACAGCAGTGGCTATCAGATATACAAGGCGATAACAAGTAGGCAGGTGTAATAGTTAGGTATGATATGATAATCATAGACCTTATATTGTTATAAGAGTAGCACAGGTCAGTTCTGGGTTAGCGATCAGTAACGCAGTCCATTAACCCATTAGATTTGGGTCTCTGTCTGTCACACCGTGACTTAAAAAATTGCGTGACAAAAGTCACGGTTGTGGCATGTATTCAATAAATCAATCTCATTATCTCCTTCAAATGGTGATCGAACACTGACCACCATGTGCTGTCTGGCAGAAAGAATTCTATTGAAAACTTGATTCAGATGATGAAGATTCCGCACGAGACAGGAAATGATGTCAGGTGAAAGGAAGCTCGTAAAATCCCAAATAATCCTAGGTCCATAGAATGCAGATCACCTTTTTTCCCATAAGCTCTGCTTCTGTCACTTTAATCTTGGCTTCATTGGGTTTTTTAAAAAATGCACATTAATTCAAGAAATTAGGTTATATAATAACTGGAATGAGCTAGTATAACATATTTTATTGTAATGTATATTACATAAATAATATTCAGAAAAATAAATATCTTTTTTATATCTTTTTTTGTAAAAACACAACCCTATCTCAATCACCTTCTCAATTACCTGGACTGCGAGTATCCCACCTAGATACAACCCTCTCTCAATCATCTGGACTGCGAGCATCCCATCTAGACACAACCCTTTGTCAATCACCTGGACTGCGAGTATCCCATCTAGACACAACCCTCTCTCAATCACCTGGACTGCGAGTATCC